TCACTGTGTGGTAAGTATAAGCAGTTTTGTGCTGTCGAACCGTAACAAGTTAAATATTTTACCTGTAATCTTATTTGATGTTTGTGTATGATATAAACCTTTGACTATAAATACCATATCTAATAAGATCTTATGTTTTATTTCTCTTCTAGTCATTTTAGCTTTCTGTTTTATAATTGCTTTAATGGTATGCTAACTCTGTAAAATAATTAGGTTTCAACAAGTCAAATACAATTATTTTGTAAACTTTAGAGATTTGCTGAAGGGAATTGTAAAAATAAAGATGCTTGCTCATTTATATGGCATGAAAATTTTGAATAGCTTGAATGGTTTTCTTTGAACAAATTAAAATTTTTATTGTCTTTAAGCAGTGAAGACTGAAAAGCAAAGCTTTCAGAATATTTATAAATCCATCTGTCTTTAAAATAAAGATAGCATATCTGGTTTAAAAAAAAGCCATTTCATAGCTGTTAATTGAAATTTAAAGTGTGAAACTTTTTAAAAATATGAGAAAATGATATAGGTAATTTTAATCTTTATGTATAGATTTCATTCAAAACATCTTGACTATTTGTATATTGCTATTATATATAGATACAGGTAATATTTTACCAGAATCTACATGGGGGGTACAAAAGTATTTTGTTAACTCTCTATAAAATGAATATACTGCCCCAAATCACTTATCCTATCTGCTGGAGCCAAACAGAGCTAATACATAGCTTCTCAGCAGTGGATTAGCAAATGAAAAGAAGTGCTCTGAACCCAGGAGAGGAAAATAGGAAGTGTCAAGAAATACTCCCATCCCCCTTTCTTCTCTTCCAAGCTTGTAGATATTTGTGTGACTAGGCCCCTTTGGGGTACGCTAGTAACTGTCTCCGAGCTGTGGCCAGGCATTTAGATCTTTGTGTGACCAGGCCCCTTTGGGGTACGCTAGTAACTGTCTCCGAGCTGTGGCCAGGCTTTTAGATCTTTGTGTGACCAGGCCCCTTTGGGGTACTCTAGTAACTGTCTCCGAGCTGTGGCCAGGCTTTTAGATCTTTGTGTGACCAGGCCCCTTTGGAGTACTCTAGTAACTGTCTCTGAGCTGTGGCTCCAGGCAGCAGAGCAAACTGGAGATCTCTGGTGACAGCAGCCTGGCTCTCTAGCTCATTCATTCTTCCCTGCCCTTTGCTTGGTCGTCCACCCCCTACTGGTTTCTTTCATAAATAGACTGAGCAAGTGGGCCCCCTACTCTAAAATATTAATCTCATGATCTGTCATTCCATCATTCTGGTTTCACTTCTTCGGATTTTTTAAAAGATTTTATCTGAAAGATCGCCTTTTAAAATGCAAATACCCCTGGGAGAGGTCTGACCTTAGTCCTCAGCTAACATCTTAATTATCAGTTAGTACCTAAGTTTGTCTTAGTACACATTTGCCTGAGAAGACCCCTGGCTAAAAGTGATAAAACTAGAGGGAAGCTAGCATTTATAATATTAATATTAATAGTAGTAGTAATAATACTATTATTATTATTATTATTATTATTATTATTGGCAGGTAAGATGTACTAAGGGCCATATTATTAAGTGCCAGGAATTGTAAGTGCTTTACAAATATAAATTTCCCTAATTCCCTCATCAACCCTATTGATATTATTTTACAGATAAGAAAACTGAGGTATGTGGAACATAAATAATTGTCTATGTCATGTAATAAATGCAGCCGAGTGTTAGACTCAGGCATTTGGATTCCTTAGGTCTGTTTTGCTGTGAGACCTCTTCCCTTCTATATTGCCTCTCAGAGAGATGGCATCTGATCAACATTTCACCCTTTTTACAATTTTGCATCAAATGGAATTATGCTCTTTGATTATAGGCCACTTCCTGTTGAAGGTCAGGGGCCTTGCCATCATCTAAATAGATTTTTTAGTAACAACTGTAACGAAATAGGAAAATTCCTTATAACTGAGGGAATGTATTTGCAGGATATAGAGGAGAAGGAAGTAAAGAGACTAGTCTATAATCTAGCACTATCTTTCCTATTTAAAACTTATTTTGGGGAATTTAAACATATGGATTAATAAAATAATTTGTAGTCCTAGTACCCCGAGATAATCCAAAAATGAATGAATGAATATATATGTGTATATATACATATACACATACATATGTGTGTGTGTATTCTTTCTAGGTTTTTTTTCTTTTGAGCCTTATTTTCTGAATGTTCTGCAAGGTGTCAACTCATACCACCTCTTTAAAATTTTAGAATGAAATAATTTCCCTTGAGTATAAATAAACAGCATTTCGCACTTCATCTCTACGAGAAGTTTAACTAATAATTATTGTCTATGACTTGCCAGAAACAAATGTTTAACTAAATTATCTCTGTGTTCTTTATATGATCCTTTTTAAGTAAAAGTAGATAGAAGAGAACCCTAGATTCTTCACTTAATCTCCATATTGAGTCAGTTCTTTAAACCAGTGTTTGGTCAGCACTAATCTACCTCTGCTCCTGTCTTTGCTTCAACACTGCTACAGCTTTAATTTCCTTGTAATATCTGGAGCAGTAGAGTCTCCTTTAATTACTCATCCCTCCTCTGGATCTGCCGTTCAGATCCCTCTGTAACCTACATATCTGATTGTGTCATTCTCCTTTATAGAATTCTTCAGTGGCTTCTTAATTGCTCGTATGCCCTGGAAGCAGGATTTGAGGATGACTGGGGCAGGGAATTCTCCAGGTCCGAAGTAGCAGTTTAAAAGGGGAGTTTGGAATGTATGCTTGTTCCAGGTGGCCACATCCCTTGACTCTGCTGACTCCACATAATAAGGGCCAGGCAGGAGCCCTCTAACGTGTCAGGTCTGGGCCCTCATTGTCTGGGTCTAAAGGCAGAGTGTGCTGCTGCTGTGTGGACAGTAAACTTTTGGTGGCAGCAAGGATCAAAGCTGGTAGACCATCTAGGAGCCTAATTGCAGTAATCCACTTGATTGTGGCTTGGTCCAGGGTGGTGGCAGTAGAGATAATAAGTAATCAGATTCTAGATATATTTTGAAGGTAGAGCCAAACATTCTTCCTAAAGGATTGATGTGGGGAGAGAGAAAGAGAGGAGACAAGTATGATTCCAAGATTATTAACCTCAGTACCTGGAAGGATTTAGGGTAATGGAGCATATTAATCACTGATGTCTTACTTTTGCCATTAGCGGCTATTGTTGAATGCTAGTTCTAATAAAATACTATATTTGACCAGATTTGGGGCCTCAGGAAATTTTGAGGGAAGAGAAGTGAAGTGTGTGCAGTTGTGAGGGCTGGGACTGGCAGTCTTAAATCTTTATTCAGCAAACCCTGTATCTAAAAGTTAAGAAATTGGTGGTGGGCAGGAGTATCTCTGATTGCTAGGAGATTTTACAAAAAAGAGGTGGGAAGAAACCAAAAATCAACTTTACCTTTGCAGTTTTCTTAGGGCCTTGGGCAGCATCTGCAAGTAACATTGAAATTCATATTGTCTTGCTGTCCTAAAAAATGTAAAGCATTGATCATGCTACACACAATGTTCTGAGTGATCTGTATCTAGGTCCTCACCTGCAACATAAAATTTGTGTTCAATTTATGTTAAATCACTGAAGATAATGTTTTGTGATTCCCTACTTTTTAACTAGATTTCGTTTCACTCTTTTTAGGTTCAGGTAGCAGATGTGTTTCTTGAACTGATAAAGGAACAAGTTTCTGGGTCAGAATCACATTTGTTTTATTATGTTAAGTTTCTTTGGTGTGTGGGTTTTTTTTTTTTTTGCCGTACACGGACCTCTCACTGTTGTGGCCTCTCCTGTTGCGGAGCACAGGCTCCGTACGCGCAGGCTCAGCAGCCATGGCTCACGGGCCCAGCCGCTCCGCGGCATGTGGGATCCTCCCGGACCGGGGCACGAACCCGTGTCCCCTGCATTGGCAGGCGGACTCTCAACCACTGCGCCACCAGGGAAGCCCTGTGGGTTTGTTTTTTGAAATAAGCTTCTAATTTCAGATAATGCTTAGCCTGCCAGAATGTAGAAGTTCATTATATTGCCACTCACTTCATATTTTTCCTCTTTTTTCTTAATTTGCTTATACATCCTTGCACATTCCTGAGAGTCTATTCAAATACAAAGACAGAATGGGAGAATGCTTTTCTCTTTCCTTAAGGCAAACTGTCAAGTCTATCAAATCAGAGTCTATCATTACAGAGCCATGAATTAAAGGTCATTATTGATTTACTACTGGAAAGCCAAATTTTAAATGGTAGTTAATTAGAATATTTATATTTAGTATTATTTAAATAAATAGAATGTAATATTGATTTGTTCACTATAGCTATGTGTCAGATATTTATTGTTTACTGAGCATTTACTATGTGCCAGATATTTTGTTATCTCAGTCCTTTAACAATTCTGTGAAGGTGGTATGATTTTTCCCTGTTTTACAGATGAAGTTTAGAGAAGTTAGAATATTTGCTCAAATCAGACATATAAACAGTTTGTGGCAGAGGTAGCTTCAAACCTAAGTTCTTCTACTTCAAAACCCATGCTTTTAACTATGATTATATTTTAGTAACTCCACTTAGGGCTCTCAGAATATAGACACTAATGAGATGTATTTGGGTCTTGCCAGTCCCAATTTTTAAGAAAATGAATATTTTTGTAAACTGCCTTCAGACTATTGGATAAAAGGGGATGTGAAAAGGGATTGCTACCCATTCTTTACCGGTAGATGGTGGCATAAAATTAAAAACAAAGTTTTTAAAAGGAACCATTAGAGAAAGTTAGGGGATGTGTGCGTGCTTTCAGAGCAAGGTGGATGAAAGATTAGTGAAGTCTAGAGTAAATGAAAAGTGAGAACTGCCTATGGTATTATGACAGGCAGCCCAAGTACTGGGAGCAGAGAGAACAATTTTATAAAATTATTCCTGGAAAAAATACCTTGTGAAAAAGAAAAATATTGGCTTTTTGTTTTTCTTTTATTAAAAACTGACATTGTTCTGCTTAGTTTTCAGATGCTTCAAATGTTATGAACAGAGACTTGTTTGGATTATGTGTTTCTCAGCTAGACTAAATAAATGCTAACAATGGATAAGTGCAAACACATTGGGCAGTTGCAGCTTGCTCAAGACCATTCCATCCTCAACCCTCAGAAATGGCATTGTGTGGACTGCAATACAACTGAGTCTATTTGGGCTTGCCTTAGCTGTTCCCATGTGGCCTGTGGAAGATATATTGAAGAACATGCACTCAAGCACTTTCAAGAAAGCAGTCATCCTGTTGCATTGGAGGTGAACGAGATGTATGTTTTTTGTTACCTTTGTGATGATTATGTTCTTAATGATAATGCAATTGGAGACCTGAAGTTACTACGAAGTACATTAAGTGCAATCAAAAGTCAAAATTATCACTGCACCACTCGTAGTGGAAGGGTTTTACGGTCTATGGGTACAAGTGATGATTCTTATTTCTTGCATGATGGCACCCTATCTCTGCTTCAAAATGAAGATCAAATGTACACTGCTCTTTGGCACAGGAGAAGGATACTAATGGGTAAAATCTTTCGAACTTGGTTTGAACAGTCACCCACTGGAAGAAGAAGGCAAGAACAATTTCAGGAAAAAATAGCAAAAAGAGAAGTGAAGAAAAGACGGCAAGAATTAGAGTGTCAAGTTAAAGCAGAATTGGAAAGTATGCCTCCAAGAAAGAGTTTACGTTTGCAAGGTCTAGCTGAGTCCACCACAGTAGAAATAGTTCCTGTTCAAGTACCAGTGCAAGCCTCAGCATCACCAGCAGAAGATAAAGTAGTATCTACCTCAGAAGATGTAAGACTAAAAGAAGCCAGTGACTTCTCTGTTAAACAAAGACCAGTAGTAACTCCTGGTGTAACAGGATTGAGAAATTTGGGAAATACTTGCTATATGAATTCTGTTCTTCAAGTGTTAAGTCATTTACTTATTTTTCGACAATGTTTTTTAAAACTTGATCTGAACCAATGGCTAGCTGTGACAGCTAGTGATAAAACAAGATCATCTTATAAGAATCCTTCAATCACAGATACAGTATATCAAATGAATGAATGCCAAGAAAAAGAAACATGCTCTGTTCGCTCCAGACATCCAAGTTTATCATCAGGACTAAGCGGTGGAGCATCAAAGAGTAGAAAGATGGAACTTATTCAGCCAAGGGAGCCAAGTTCACAGTACATTTCTCTCTGTCATGAATTGCATACTTTGTTCCAAGTCATGTGGTCTGGAAAGTGGGCCTTGGTCTCACCATTTGCTATGCTACACTCAGTATGGAGGCTAATTCCTGCTTTTCGTGGTTATGCCCAACAAGATGCTCAGGAATTTCTTTGTGAGCTTTTGGATAAAATACAACATGAACTAGAGACAACTGGTACCAGGTTACCAGCTCTTATCCCTACTTCTCAAAGGAAACTTATCAAGCAGGTTCTGAATGTTGTAAATAACATCTTTCATGGACAACTTCTTAGTCAGGTATGGATTTTTTAAAAATCTTATTTTCATCTTGGGGAATTCATAAAGTGAAGCCTAAAAAATGCATATTCTCTGTATATCTAGTATGTTAGCACTAGTACTGTTCTCAGGTCAAAATTGGTCACTTTTACAATGTATGAAGAAGTCAGCTCACTCTTATAGTTGCTTCCTTCATGAATCATTGGAAGTAGTTTTACATCCATGGTATTAAAGCTTTTTGATGGGGAGAGGGAATCAGGAAACAGAGCTTCTCAGGTTAATGATATTGCATTCGTTCTCTGAGGGATTGAGAAGAGTTTAATCCCACAAGGAACAGATTTGAAGATACTTTTTTTGCGATATGCAGGCCTCTCACTGTTGTGGTCTCTCCTGTTGCGGAGCACAGGCTCCGTACGTGCAGGCTCAGCGGCCATGGCTCACAGGCCCAGCCGCTCCGCGGCATGTGGGATCTTCCCGGACCGGGGCACGAACCCGTGTCCCCTGCATCGGCAGGCGGACTCTCAACCACTGCGCCACCAGGGAAGCCCTGAAGATACTTTTGTACTGGGAATGGATTTGGTGTACACTTGAGAAATTTCAGGGACCAAGGAGTAGCCCTGGAGGATTTCCTATAGAACCGAAGGGGGCAAGGTTTGAAAACTTTAACAAGTAGGTAGCAAAATTTTAAGGTAAATAAATGTGATTTAATCTAGAAAGATCCTAAATGGTTTTCCTTTATTTTAATTACACCCGCAAAAATTTCCCTTGTGAAAGTCACAAAACCAGAATCTTCCATCTAATTAATGATTCTCTAGAATGAGTGGACTTGTTGGTAGACTATTACTAGACATCGGCTCTCTACTTTTCCAGAGCATAGAGCTTTAAAAAAAGTTTATTCAAAATTGAGTTATTTGTAGTGAAGTGGATGGACCTAGAGTCTGTCATACGGAGTGAAGTAAGTCAATATGCATATGGCTGATTCGCTTTGTTGTGCAACAGAAACTAACACAGTATTGTGAAGTAATTATACTCCAATAAAGATCTGTTAAAAAGTTTATTTGCAAGAGGGATGAGATATGGGGATATATGTATATGTATAGCTGATTCACTTTGTTATAAAGCAGAAACTAACACACCATTTTAAAGCAATTATACTCCAATAAAGATGTTAAAAAAAAAAGTTTATTTTTTAACTGAGGCAATTAGGCCCCTATACACATGCCTCTGTTCCTCAGTTCAACTTTCATGGTAATGATACCACCTTTTGTTTTTATAGCATACTTTTCTGGAATGTAGTTTAAATACTTCAAAAGTATTTCTTAGGGAATATCTATGAAGTTTATTGCCCTTCATATTTCAGAAATGTATAGATTCTACATTGTGTCAATTAGCACATAAGAGTTGTGCTTCTTGTGTTGCATGCAATTTTATTTTTCCACCATCTTTCTCTGTCATTTTTAACTTTTTATGCAAAAGTTAAAATACACAATTATAAAGAAAATAATATATACCATATAGAAAATCTATATGGCATAGTAAATCTATGCAGAAGAAAAATCATCCCTTAGTACCATAACTCCACATAACCCACACATAAAACTATTAATATTTTGGTATATTTCCATCTAGGTTTTTTTTTTTTTCCTGAATATTTATACATATTTTTCCCACTAATTGTATGGTCATGTTGAATTTACCTGCTTTTTTTCACTTTTTCATTTAATAATGTAAGGATTTTTCATAGTCATCAAAATATTTGATCATTCTTTTCACAACATTTCAGTGTCCATCATATGTATATACCATAATTTATTTAACCATTTCCATATTGTTGACTTGTAAACTGTTTCCAGACATCATTATAATGTCACGATCAATTAATACGGTTTTTCTAATGATTTCCTTAGGACAGAGTCCTAGAAGTAGAATTACTTTGTCAAAGATTAGGACTTTTGATACTTGGCTGCAAATTTCTTTCCAGAAAGTTGCCATTTTATATTTTGAATAGTGGGAGAGTGGTTATGTGCTTGTTTTTTCCTTTATGGATGAATTTTGAAATTAATAAAAATTGTTATGCTAGCATTTTGCTTTCTTCCTTTCAATGTGTAATAAACACTTAGGAAATTGGTCATCTCAGGAGATTCAGAGGTTGGACTTCCCCGCCCCGCCGCACCCCCACACCAAATTCAAGAAACTTCTCAAAAGGTCAGACTGTGGTCCTAGGGAGTCCCCAAACTAAACACCAGGAGTATTATTTTCTTTGTGTCATTGTGTTAAATCTAAAATCTACATTAAAATTGGCCTCTTTATTTTTTTGTTTGTTCCAGGAATATAGCTTTTATGAAAGAGTTTAGTGATATTTCGTATCATGTGTGGATTTTTAGATCTACAGAGTCTGTCTTCAGTTATGGGCAGTGTTT